AAAACTAAATGATGATGGAACAATGTTACTGAAACGAAACTTTATTATACTTGAAATATAAATGGTGTTGTCTTGTCATTTAAAATATGTGGGATTGGAAATAAAGAATTAAATTATACAAAAAATTGTGATAATATTAAATTTATTTGAGAAAATAATAAATTGGAGAATGTTAAGACTATAAAAGGTATGAATAACAATGATTATAAATCATCATCATACTTTCATACTTTGTCCTTATGAATGTTAAATTTTTAATATGTTATGTACAATAGATGATAAATGTAAAAAAATTAAATAAGTAGTGAAAATTAAAAATAAATATAAATGGATATTTGGATTGGATGGATATTGTTTATGGATTGAAAATAAAATATATGTCGCTAAAAAACATCTTGTAGAAGCATAAAGTATTAAATTCATGAAGAATGTTAATAGATTCATCATAATTTACATCTCATTTTGGTTTACAATTAAATTCTCTTTCACTTTGCTCTGAAATAAATTCAAGTGATGGTTGCATTGAAGAAATTGATGGAAACTGAATAGAAACTATCGCTGGAATGCAAAAACTTCAACATCTTAGGCTTGTTTATAAGCTAGAGATATATATGCTATAAAATATGCTACAGGGTAATCCACAAGTTCTTGTTATAACCCATTAATGGTTTATATAAAACTTAAAACTGCTTGTTTATTCACTCAAGATAAATGTGCTGAAATAGATCTATTAAATCCTTTAGGAAGAATGCTTAATTAAATTAGAATATTCTAATAGATAAATATTAATAATATATCATCAGATTTTAATGAGATAATACTTTAATTTCTTGATAAATTTTAAATTCGCCTCTAAATAAAATAGAGTGATTATTTAGAGAAATCAATAATCTGAAGTTATTGAGATTAAATAAGAACAGATGAGAATGTAACAAATGGTAGTTTAATTTTTCAAGGAATATTCGGTCATTATCAATGTACTATGATAATGTATATGGTTTTAATGGTTTCTCTGATTTAATCCAATAAATTTTATTAAAGTTAAATACAAAACGGGGCTTTGTTAATATATTTATTTTGACCTATAATTATTAATTATAAACCAAATTTTATAAATTAAGTTTACCAATAAATAAGATTAATTAACCTTCTTTAAGCAGTAAACTCTCAATTTACTGTAAGCATCATCAAAAAGAAAATTAATTTTAAGTCTTTTAGAGTTATATTAATAAACTAATAAAATTCCTTTCAACAAACTATATTTTATTTTCTTAAATTTTGGGTATTATTGCAATCAATTGTATAGTTAATATAAGCAACAAAACCAATCTACTCAAGCAATTGACTTTATAATTCATCTATATGAAAAAATTATTTCAATTACTGAATATTTCCAATAATATAATATTAAATTTTCAACCAAGATTAAATTGATTAAATTTATTAAATGATTTAAGAGGGAATATTTCCATTACATTTTGTAATAAAAATATTTTTAAATACGTTTTATTACAATAGAGAGTGTTTAAATCGAAATTTTATCAACAACTAACATATAAAACATTCTTAATAAAGAGAATATTTAGAGGAAATAACAACTCTATAACTATAAATTATCAAGAACTTAATATGGAATTACTAAATTTAATTGATTTAATTAAAATTAAGGTATAATCTATGGCATTTTAATGTAATAATCTTGATGCTTATGGCTATGCCACTTCATATTCATTATCTAAATTTAATGGAAGTAGTTCATATTATTTATTTCTGATCAGTTTCTTCGTACCATCATCTTTTTCTCTAATATGAGCATTGATGATTTTTTCTTGACATAAAATCCTTATTTATTTTATAGAGCTAAATTACTAAATTCATCCCTTTTTTTAAGGTATCCTAGATTTCTTTCGAAGATATATATATCATTACTACATAGTTTTCTTATTTTGAGAACAGATAAAATCTTCAAAGGGTTTACATTAACAATAAAATAAGATTATGTAAATAATTAAGAGATTGTGATTGTTCTTATTTACGGTTTCTTATTTTTTGAGTAAATTAAATATGAGAAATAATTAAAAGTGTTTTTTATCCATAAAAATAAATTAATTATTAAGGCTAGAATAGAGAAACATAAAATTTAATGGGTTTTAAAACAAATATATTTAAATATATTATAATTAGTCATGATGCAATTAGGAAAAAAGTAAGATTGTAAAATAAATAATGGAACAGATTAGGATAGGTTAATTTGTTTAGAAAAGATTTAAAATGTTAATATTTCTTATTAAACAGTAAAAAGATTAGTGTAATTATTTTCATTTGTAAATCGTCAACTTTAAATACATAAAATTTATTTCAATAAGGATGGCTAAAAATTTTTAATATATTGATAACAATTAGTTAGAGAAAGGAGGTTGCTCTATTGATTTACTGTATGATTTGAAAAAAATACAAAAACAATTAAATGCTTTATAATTTAATTAATTAACATAAGCACTGCAACATTTAACTTTCACTAACTTCCTACTTAGTTTCTTATCGTTATTTACAGAATTTATTTCTATAAATATTCTCTCTTTTGCAATTCATTAACTCTAGTTTAATCCTCCAAAGCATGGTAATTCTATTTATTATTATTCATACATACTTTCTTAATTTATATTAACATAGCTTTCTCCTTCTTTATATTAACATTTGACTATTCTATTCTATAACGTTAAAAATTATTTTACTTTAGAATCATCATTAAATATGGAATGAAACAGAGAAATTCATGCTTAACCTCA